TGCAATTCTTCACGCAGAATAAATCTTATAGGGGAAAACGGGGTACGAAGAAACGCATAGAGTTCAAGGCATTTTTCAAGCTATTCGTCAGTTTTATTATGATGGTTATGATTAAAAGCACATGATTTTAACCAGTCAAAACGCTTTGAAATTGGTCTGAGTTTTAGACATCCGGTATTTTTTATTACTCCATTTTACCCATTTTACTCCTTTTTACCCAACATATATATTTTTAATTTCATGAGGAGATGTTAAACACAATATAGGGGAATTTATGTATTCTCGTTAGTATTAGCAGCGTCCGCGCTTAGATTAGCATTTTCTCAGCGTCACATACAAATATGACGTGTTTTTATGCTTAAATTTATTTGCTGCTTGCTGTCCTATCCATCCCAACCGATAGACTTGTTCAAAACTATTTGAAAACGTATTTGCAATGCTACAAACTTCTCAGGTTGTCGGCGACATTATTTTCTTCGGCAACCTTTCCATTTGAACAGCGTGTTAACCAGCTGTTCGATCATCGGCAATTCGAAATCAGCCGCATTTTGACGAGCGTATATTTCATTTGAAGAAAAATCTGGCATAACAAATTTGCTAAATTAATCGTAAAAATATTATCAGATTGAAGGTGAAATTATTGTTTAAATTTTGGATGCCGAAAACAGTTAATGCTTGCCGAAGCTATCATTTCTCTATAGATTTATCCTTAAACTACGACAAATATTTTTTTTAATAATTATCAATTTATTATTTTATTATGAAATGCATTTATTAAAAATTGTATTATTTATTTCAGTCGGACATAAAGTTGAAATTATAATCAGTAAAAGTGATACATATTATGTGCGTCTTACTTTATAACTCCACTGTAAAACTTGCATGCGGCAACGGGATTGTTTCCATAACGTTATTAAATAGATTTGATATCAATATACTATTTACATTCCAGAAACTAAGCTTATCCTACCTGTTTGACATTATTTAGCGGAAGTCAGTCCGTAATGCAAACCGGAGGATTAAATGGCCCCGCCTGGTTTTTCAATGTTTTCCCCTTACTAGCTATGGGATTTTATGTGTCGAAATGTTAGTTTAAGTACTGAACTACCAATTTTACGGAGCTATTTTATCCCAGGGGTGCGTTTTGGACTGTCCTACCATATGTGAATCTGGTGTAGGCACATATATTTGCACAACTTTTGCGCCTAGTAGATGATAGTGAGAAAATTTATGTTTTAATAAATTAATTGATTTATTTATTTGTCAATCAAAAACGTAGACTACGTAATAAAATTATATCTTATATCCCAAGTAACGCAAATTCATAGAATTATGTTAAGTAAACTGCTATACAACCAAGACTTGTTAAGGGGGATTTCCGGTTCAATTGACCTAAACTTTGGATTTTTTTCCAGGGAACTGGTAAGAGTTAGAGACATGAGTTATTTGTCAAATCTTTATTCATTCTTGCTCTACAACTGGGAATTTTTTCAAGTCCAAAAATCCAAAATGGCGTTCAATATGGCGGCCGCCCGGCGGGTACTTCCCAAAACTGCGAGCAGCCTAGAGGTCGCAAATCGTCACCTATTTAGAAAGAAAATCGGCTCTTTGAAAAATCTCAAAATTTGACAAAATGGCGGGCATTTGAAAAAAAAGTCGTTTTTTTCGGTCGATTTTTTGACTTTGACAGCCTGTGAAAAATCGAAAATTGCACATTTCTCCTTGAGTCTATAGTTCATTCCATGAAGAAAAGTGTTTTCAATAAGGGAAGCAAAGAACGAAGTCAATTGGTTGAACCGTTCAAAAGCTAGAGTGCTCGCAGTTTTGAAAAATGTAGTTTCGAGAAAAACGCGTTTAAAGTTTGCGAAACATTCCATACCGCTCGGGAGGTCGATGCACTCAAAGGCCTGTAGCGACGTAAATATTTGCCGGATCAAAATATCCTTTTGCCCACCTATTCTAGACATGTTTAGCTTTGATTTCATGCAAAAAAAAAATCGATTTTTTTGAAAATATTGAACCGGAAATCCCCCTTAAACAAAGGTTATATAATATGATATAGAACATGTGTGTTGATTGGGATGTATTCGCATTGCCTGGATTTTTTTTCAATTTTAGTGTAGGCATATTTACGTCTGTCAGTTCACAGTGTAGATTATAAACAGACATCATTTGACGTATCAGTCCATATGTCGCGTGGTTAGTGCGGTGGCGATCTACCGCGAGAGCAATTCCAGCCCAAAACACAAACCGGTTGGAAATTAGTATTTCCTATTTTAATGAAACATTACTCATATGTTCGCTGCCACCAATAGTTGTATTTTTCATTGAAATATGATTTTTTTCATCGCAGTAACTTTAAAAAAGGCATATTCAAAATAAGCAAAAACAAATTTTTCTTCAAAAAATCATAACATGAAAACTACTGATTTGATTAAAATTACGCATAAACTATTTTCCCAAGTTTAGCCGTTGTCAAGGTAATGCGAATTAGTAATAATAGTAATGATAATTTTCAACATTTAAGACCATTTTCAAATGTTAGTCGCGATATACAGCAACAAGATGTTTTTCCATGATTGTATATTGAAAAAAAAAAAATTCTCAAATATGGTAGCTGTCAGACTTACCCGTTTCTATTTATTCACAGCGGAAGAGAAAAAAGTTTGTAAGTAAATACTCTTCAATATACCCAAATTATCAACAAAACCCCTAGTGTTCCTTTTTCAGTCCTCTATTAGTTAGCAAAAAATATAAACAGGTAAACAAATATTACATTAATTTAAATAGCATACAATGGTGAAAATTATTATAACTATTATTATTGATTCACATTAACTTAAGAACGGCTGAACTTAGGAAAAAGATTTGTATGGACAAATTTATCGAATGTAAATCATTATTTCACTAAAAAGTATGCAGTTGCTTCTCAGATGTCATTTTGAAAAGATCAATAGTTTTCATGTTATTATTTTTTGAAAAAATATAATCCATTTGTACGAGACGCAACCAACTAGCCCCGACCGAGTCGACCTATTTGCAGCGTAAAAAACTACATTAAAGGTTAAATTAATTGTCCTGAGCCATAAAGTGTTCCGAAAATTAACGGTGTTGAATGTTTCGATATAAATTTAGTGTTTTGATTTGCGTGAGAGAACCAAATTTCCCTTCATCTATCCGGGAAGCAGTTACCTATCGAAAAATACACAGCAAAAAATAAATTTTAATATTACATCCAAGAGGATGCACTTCAATCATGTCGAAAATCTCAGGTAATTTTTATGGCCACAACAATAAACAAACGCAGTGAAAGCAGCGTAATGTCAGTTCATGCACTGTATTAATGATAATTTTGTCCTGTTTGGCAAGTAATATTAAACCATATTTTCGACACGATTGAAGTGCATTCACTTTGATGTGATATTAAAATTAATTTTTTGCTGTGTACAGTCCACTTATCATCTTTTTTTTTTTAGACTTTATTTAAGAGATTTTTATCCTTAGCTAGTTCATCTCTCCACTTATCATCGTTTCGAGCCCAATTTTTGCAATGCGCCCTTTTCAAAAGTTATAAAAGTTAAAAGTTACTAAAGAAAATCATAGCGGTGCCGGTGGTGTAGTGGTAGGCATGATAGCCTCTCCCCCCAAAGAGCTTGGGATCAATCCCAGTCAGCACCACCGGGATTGTCTGTGGCATTAAATTTCACAGGAAGTAAAGCCGTTGGTCCCCGGTCCATGAGGTGATGGGTCGATATTAGGTTCCAGCTGTGGCAGCTGCATCCCTGGCGTCGGTAGCATTGGTACTCGGCACGGAAATACAAGTTCGACGGAAAACAAATCGATAAAAAAAAAATTAAAATTATATTTAATAGCGTTTTGGACTGGAAATGCTCGCGAACGAATGTCGCTAACGCAATTGACGAGAAGGTACATCAAAATTAAGTCTTGATACTACACAGCAAAAAAATAATTTTGATATCACGTCAAAGTGGATGCACTACAATCATGTCGAAAATATGGTGTAATATTACTTGCTAAAAAGGACAAAATTATCATTAATACAATGCATGAACTGACATTACGCTGCTTTTACTGCATTTGTTTATTTATATGGTCATAAAAATTACATGAAATTTTCGACATGATTGTAGTGCATCCACTTTGATGTGATATCAAAATTATTTTTTTGCTGTGTAAATAAGGCGAGCCAATGCGTTGCGAAGCAATATTGTTCACAAGCCACGTGCAAGATGGGAGATGAAATGCTGTTTATTCTAATTTACGTAGCATATATAATAAAAACTGCTTCTGGATTGAATCTATTCGTTCTTCATGCCTTGAATGACGATGGATGTGATAAGAATCTACTGCAGAAAGGTAAGAAAGTCCGACTTGCATATGTTATTAATAGTATTTTCAACTCCTTTATGACAAATTGTGCTGCTTCGGTTGCATCAAATATATGAAAAATCTTTATTGAAACACATGCGCATGCACAGATTCGGTAATTTACTATGTTACCTGACTCATAAAGGATATGTGTTGTATCCGTGGGATCGTATACTTCGTCTAATTTTACGTTCATTATGCCTTGTAAAATTGGATGAGGTATACGATCCCGTGGATACAACGTATATTCGTCATGAGTCAGGTAGCAAATTATATATTGTTTGAATGTAAATATGTAGCACGAACGAAAACAAACCGACAAACACATTCTGGTATGTTTAATGTTTACCACAATCACGCATCATGATAAACTCAAAAGCATAAGTTTAATTATGCGGCTCCAATTGCAAAAAAAAAAAATTCTATTCCATTGACCGTTGATTTCTGGAACTCGTATAGCAAAAATATTACATTTGGATAGCTCTAGTTGTCTTTCGGTGAATATTCGAGGCAGAGCATAAGCATAACTGACAGCCGTGCGTTGTTCGCAGGAAGGAAACAAATTACAGAATTTCTCAACTTTCCATTTTATAAATCTCTTTCTCCTACAGATCGCATACGCACCAACTCAGACCGATACATCTGTAGAGTCCGTTTCGCCACCAGGGGAGGAGGATTAGTTCCGTTCAAAGCAATGTCAACCCGTCGCGCCGGACCACCTCAAGGCCAACCGATGCCAGCGCAACTGCCGATTCCGTACGAGAATGAGAAAAAGCAGCGCAGCAAATGCATGTCCTTTGTGTGCTTCATGTGGAAGTTGTTCACATGTATTTTCTCCCACGTGACACTGGTAGCGATGGTGGTGGCGTACTGCTTCCTTGGGGCGTTTACGTTCGAGCACTTGGAAGCTGAAAACGAGCGGAATGTAAGTACCTACGTACGATTAATTATCCTTTATCAAATTCTTCACTGAGCATTTATAAGGGCCTACATTTGCGGAAGAAGCCATTGCACAAGCCGAATTTAGGTGGAATAAATTGTCCCAAATCGCAAATCAATAGGTTTCGGTATGTAGTGTCTTCGGGAAAGTTTTTCATTTATTTCAGCCATTCTTTTTATGCTCAATTCATTAGGGTGGTTCATACGGTTGATGAGTACTAAAAATAAACTTTTTATTTATACGAGATAGATCTACTTGTTGTAGAACAACTCATTTGAAGGAACTTTGTAACTACTTCCTTTTTTCATTTTATTTTATTTGTTTTTTTTTTTTATTAAGGATATGAATAGATTTTGGTCCATTCAAAAATATGCATTGCAAATCGAACGCATAACGCAAATATATGCAATTATAATCGAACGCATAACTTCAGAATAAACCATCAAGGCAAGTATTCTCAAAAAATGCATTTACAAAGAACAAAAAGAATAAATGTCCATCTATTTGTTTCCTCGCGCACACAAACAAGGTTTTTGGTATCCGTGTATAAATCGGAGAAACTTTTAGGTAAAAAATCTTATCCTTTACATTTGTTCAATCATTTTATTAGAACAAAATGTAATGAAAAGTGTTAAGTCAAAAGTTAGAAAAAAATAATTATGTAATGTGTTTCAAATGTATATATATATATTCAATTTAAATTTAATTAAAACTATCATTGAATAGCCTAAACTTACGGTGTAAGGAAGTATCAGACTTTTTGAGATATTATTGTCAATTTTACAAAGTTGTAAACGTGGAACGAAAAATGAGAACGAAAGTTATGCAATATCGTACAAACACTTTGTTTGGTGTTGGTGTTTATCATCTTTTAGGAGAGCTGGATTAAAAAATATCTAGATTCACACAATTTCAAAATTAATCCTGGTGTTCAAATTATATTGACATGAGTTCAAAAATTGCATTTTAGAGCACATGTGATTTAAAATTACTGTAAAATATATTGTTTATTAGTTTTTTTTTTCTATATCGTAAATAAGTAGAGCTTAAAACTTGCCCAAGAAAGCATTAAGTTGAGAAGTAAAATAAACAAAGTTGGGACTGAAAGTTTGTGTCTGGTTAATAACTTGAGCAGTCCTTATACATATTCCTGAAACTGATGGTTTTAGTAGAAATAATTTATTCCACCTATATATGGCTTCTGGACCACTGTACATTGTTCAGGTTTTTAAAAATCTTATTAAGTTCAATAAAAAAAAAAAAAAAAAAAAAAAACTCAGCCAGCAAATTTATTTAAATGGGATGAGAACTATTTTGGCATATACGCATATTCCCATAATATCGAGCACAAAACATAAATTATATCAATGATTTTGTAGAGAAATAATCAAACGGTTTGGTACGCTACTGTCTATAAGAAAGCATGGTTTGAATATTTACTTTTTTTTTTTTTTTAATAATCCATTTATTTGTCAAGGCTCAAATGCGTTAGCTTTGCGGAGCCGAATATTTTTTACATTATTGTGTGTGAATATCATTTTCTTACAACTAATGTTAGTAGAACGGGGGCCGATTACTCGCGGTTTACTCGAGATTAGGGATTACATTTATTGATCATTTGGAGGGAGGACAAGGGAAAGCATTTTGAACTAATTTAAAACTTAAACGTAAAGGATGACTAAAACACAAAACACTAAACACATACATCAACAGCTTTAAGAAAGTCGTAAATAAGCTTCATAATGTCGATATCACGGCAAGCCAAGATGTCTCTAATTGGCTTAAAGGGTTGTTTTCCTCGGACCCTAAGGGAATCACACAGAACGGATCTCGCCTCATAATGCAAGGAGCAGGACCAAACAACATGCTCGATGTCGTGATAACCGTTTCCACAGGTACATAGGTTGCTGTCGGCGAGCGTAATACGGAAGAGGTGGGCGTTTAACGAACAGTGATTGGACATGAGCCTGGACATTACACGAATAAAATCACGACTCATATCCAACCCTTTGAACCAGGGTTTGATCGACACCTGTGGGACAATAGAATGTAGCCATCTTCCCAGATCACCATCATTCCACTTTTGTTGCCAGTTGGCGAGGACTTGCTGACGAGAAATCGTGAAAAATTCGTGGTAGGCGATTTGTCGCTCGTAAATATCGCCTTCCATAGCGCCCACCTTGGCCAGCGAGTCCGCTTTCTCATTGCCCGGGATAGAGCAATGAGAAGGGACCCATACCAAGGTGATGACATGTGAGCTGTTTGATAAAGCACTCAATGACGATCGTATTTCCTGGAGGAAATACGCCGAGTGCTTCATCGGCCTCATTGAACGCATAGCCTCCAGGGAGCTTAGGCTATCCGTAAAAATGAAATAATGGTCAGGTGGAAGTGAGGCAATACGCTCTAACGTGTACGATATAGCTGCTAGTTCAGCAACGTATACCGAACACGGCTTTTGAAGCTTGTATGAGGCGCTATGAAGATCGTGGAATACTCCAAAACCAGTGGACGCATTTATCACCGACCCATCTGTGAAAAATCTCTTCTCGGTGGGGACGTGGCGGTATTTGTTCGCAAAAATAGTTGGGACAATCAGAGCACGGTGAGGCTCTGGAATTCCTTGAATCTCCTGCCTCATTGTGAGATCGAATCTCACGGAAGAACCACTGAAATGATGGGAGACAGCGCGATTGGGGTTGAACGAGGAGGGGCCGATGTCCAGAGTCATGTACTCGTAGTACAAGCTCATGAATCGTGTTTGAGGATTCCGCTCTAGCAGCTTCTCAAAGTTTTCGATCACCAGCGGGTTCATGACTTCACAGCGGATGAGGAACCGGAACGATAAATCCGCAAAACGATTTGTTAAGGGGAGGACGCCCGCAAGAACTTCAAGACTCATTGTATGCGTCGATTTCATACAACCTAGCGCGATTCGAATGCAACGATATTGAATCCTTTGGAGCTTCAATATGTGCGTTCCTGCCGCCGATTGAAAGCAAAAGCTACCGTACTCCAAAATCGACAGAATGGTGGTCTTGTAGAGTCTTATCAGATCTTCCGGATGGGCTCCCCATGAAGTGCCGGTAATGGAACGAAGGAAATTGATTCGCTGTTTGCATCTCTGCCTCAGATACGCTATGTGTTTTCCCCAAGTGCACTTGGAATCGAACCAGACACCTAAATACTTAAACGACATGCTGTGAGTGATTGTTCTACCCATAAGTTGAAGCTGAAACTGTGCTGGATAAAGCTTCCTAGAAAAAACAACCATCTCTGTTTTCTCCGGAGAGAATTCGATACCCAGATTCATTGCCCAAGTAGACAAATTATCCAAGGTATTTTGCAATGGTCCTTGCAGGTCCGGTGCTGTTGGTCCAACCATGGAAACCACGCCGTCATCTGCAAGCTGCCTTAGCGTGCAATTTTCGGCCAGACATTCATCAATGTCTTTGACATAGAAGTTGTACAGGAGGGGACTTAAACATGAGCCTTGTGGAAGACCCATGTAGCTGATTCGTGCAATTTCCGTGTTGCCATGAGAGAAGCTCATTCGTTTCTCGGACAACAAATTAAACAGGAAATTGTTGATAATCGGAGAAAGCCCACTCGCATGGAGTTTTTCCGAAAGGATGTCGATGCAAACAGAATCAAACGCCCCTTTAATGTCCAAGAAAACTGAACCCATCTGCTGTTTTTCAGCATAGGCTAATTGGATTTCAGTTGAAAGCAACGCAAGGCAGTCGTTTGTCCCTTTGGCCCTACGGAATCCAAATTGCGTATCTGAGAGTAAGCCATTCGCCTCGACCCACTTGTCCAGACGAAGAAGAATCATTTTTTCTAACAGCTTCCGAATACACGACAGCATCGCGATGGGACGGTACGAATTATGATCCGACGCGGGTTTACCGGGCTTCTGGATGGCGATAACTCTCACTTGTCTCCAATCATCCGGAACAACGTTGAGCTCAAGGAATCGATTGAACAAGTTCAACAATTGCCTCTTTGTGACTTCTGGGAGGTTCTTGAGCAGGTTGAACTTTATTCGATCAATTCCCGGAGCCGAGTTATTGCATGAAAGAAGAGCAATTGAGAATTCTACCATCGAAAACGAGGAGTCCATGTCATCGTTTTCCAGCGGCGGATCGCGAGTGTTGCATCGGACCGGAACCGAATCGGGACAAACCTTACGCGCGAAGTCGAAAATCCACTTGTTAGAGTACTCCTTGCCCTCGTTGACCGACGATGCCGCGTTACGCATTCTCCTGCCGACATTCCAGAGCGTTTGCATGGAAGTCTCTCGCGATAGCCCTTCGACGAACCGACGCCAGTAACCGCGTTTTTTGGCCCTGACCAAGCTCTTAAACTTTTCCTCTAGCACCGTATACCGCTCAAAGTATTCGCGGGAACCGTATTTACGAAACTGTTTAAACGCGGTAGACTTCTCTTTATTCACGTCGGTGCATTCCTGGTCCCACCACACAGTGGGAGGACGTTTGCGAATGGTAGTGCCAGGAACAGGCTTCGTTTGTGCTTGAAGTGCGCAATCCACTATGAGCCGCGATAGGAAGGAGTACTCATCCAATGGAGAGAGAACGTCGACCGATTCTGAACCGTCACGGACCGCGTTCGCGTATTCTTCCCAATTGATGTTTCTCGTGAGATCGTACGCGATGTTGATTGGACACTGTGAAGATGAACCGTTGGAAATCGAAATTTTAATGGGCAAATGATCACTACCATAGGGGTCTTGGATTACCTCCCACATGCAATCCAATGATAGTGAGTTCGAACAGAGTGACAAGTCTAGTCTGCTCTCTCTTGCTGGAGGTTTGGCTATTCGAGTTACTTCACCGGTGTTTAGAATGGTCATATTGAAATCGTCGCATAGGTCATAGATGATGGTTGAGCGGTTGTCATCGTACAGCTCTCCCCAGCCTGTACCGTGGGAATTAAAATCCCCTAAGATCAACCGCGGCTCAGGT